TTATTTATTTATTTTGGGTTTTATTTATTTTTGTTTTATTAGGTAGTAAAAAAAAAAGGAGAATCTTGCTGTGAATGGGAGATAGATAAAATCATAGTTGGTTTTAATTTCTATGAGATAAATCTAATGATTTTATGAATTCTTATCAACAGTGGACTTATAGTTAATTAAGAACTCTTATGATTCATCTTATAAATACTTGTATTGATCACAAAAACAAGGATAGAATCACAAAGAGCATAAAAGGTCAAAAACACATAAAGATTAGAGAGGTAGATCACAGAACAAGCAGAAAGCAATTAAAAATTTTTTGAAGATTTTTTGGGTTTAGGAAAGAAGAGGATTTTTTCTAGAAAATTTTGGAAAATTCTTAGATTCTGATGAAAATTTTTAGTTTTTGGTGAATTTTTTAACACCGGTTGAATTTTTCGACAAGCATCCCAAAATCCGATTAAAGATTCTGGCAAGCTTGAATTTTTTTATGAATATCTAACGAACCAACCCAGATTTGGGTGACTTTTTCCAAAATCCAACAAAGATTCAATTGGAGTTCTTCCAATTCTAGAGAGAAAGGAAAAGAAAAGAAGGGGGAAGAGAGGGGGAAAAAGAAATCCAAGGAAAAAGATCGTATTCTTACTATATATACCCATCAAAACGATGTCATTTTGGGGTTAAGAAACCCTCAGGATCCGTGTTTTTTTGGGCTAACTCGACCTGTAGCACTGATATGCTTTTGACCTGCGTACCAGCCAATCCCTTGAGCTGAGTAGAGTCACCAAGCCGCATCCCTTGAGCCATTTTTTATGCTTGGAGCCTCACCACGCTAAACCTCTCCAACCGAGCCATTTGTATTTTTTTGGTTTATTTATTTATTTTATTTAGTATTTTTGTGTTTATTTTTTTAGTATTTTTGCATGATTAAATTTGGAAAAAATAAAAAAACTAAAAATATATATTTTTTAGAATAAATAATAATTATCCGAATATGAGATTTTTAGAAATTTCAAATGGTAGATTTCTATAAAATTCCAGGTGAGAAATTTTATCTAAATTTGTCCTAAATGATGAAATAATTTAGATAAAGTTTTAACAACAATAATTAATGTTTATTCTCAATAAAAAACCAAAAATAAAAAAATAAAATTTGATTGAAAATATTTTATAATTATCCAATGATGAAATTTTTAGAAATTTTAAATGGTAAATTTCTAAGAAATCTCTAGGTGAGAAGTTTCTTTAAATTTGTCCCAAATGGTAGAAGAATTCAACTAAAATTTCAAGAAAAAAATTATCATATTATTTTCTTTTCGAAAACAAAAAAAAAAAAGAAGAAAAGAAAAAAATTTCTAAATAGACCCAAATAGAGGAAAGTTTAGAAATTCTAAAAAAAGAAAACATTTCTAAATTAACCTAAATGGTGAAAAATTTAGAAATCCAACAAAAAATAATAAATAAATAAAAATTCTAAATAGGCCCAAATGGTGGAGAATTTAAAATTTTCGAAAGAGAAAATATTTTTAATTTGGCCCAAACAGTGGAATAATTAGATATATTTTTGACAAAAAAAAAACAAACAAAAAAATCTTTCCAACAACGGACCCTCTTCAAGAAAACATATAGAATTCTTGAATACTTTCGAGCTGAGAGAATATTTTTAAAAATTTTATCAAATTGATGGAGAGTCTTAAGAGTTATTTCCAATATTCAATATTAAAAACTCAAAATTATTAGAGTCAAGACTTCAGGATAAATTTAAAATAATATGGTACCATCCTTTGGATGGACGGATGCTATAACCTTCCCCATATGTAATCGAACTCTCAAACCATGTTCTAGTTTGTAGACTTGAACCTATTCTTTTAGGGACCTTTAGTCAAGCTTAGGAGTTTCTTAAAAGGATAGATTTCTTAGGTGACTAATCACACCGAGATAAAAAAGATTGGTGACGACTCCATTTGTTAAGTTTAGCTATAGATTTATGGATCTATATGTTATGACACCCACTTAACTTTGTTAAAGGCTAACTTAAACATACTTGAACGTAAGTTTCCAACCTAAGGCCGCATGATTACTAGGCTTAAGACCAAAGCACATGACATAAACATTTGATATAGTTTGTTTCTACTAACATATCTCGTATGTTTGTCTTAGTCAAAGATGGGTTTTATTAATTTCAAATTTTAAACATTGAAAAAAAGTCTTTAGGTTTTCACTCAAAAAATATTTTTTTCTCACATTGACAATATTTAAGATAAACTTGTTGTTCACTTGAAGGTTTTGTTGTTGAATTTATTAAATATTTAACAAAAAAATCAGATTCTAATTTCTTTTATTTATTTACAAAATAATGTCTTACAAAAGTATTATAAAAATATCATAGAAAAATCATAAATATCATGCAACAATATCATAATTAAATCATGCAAAAAAATCATAATAAACCATAGAAATAAATAAAATCCATGCAAAATATCATGCAAATAAATAAATTGTAACTTTAAAAATTCATGTCAAAGTTTTTTTTTCTTATTTTTTCAATAAAATAAATAAATAAATAAATAATAATAAAACAAAAAATCAAAACAAAAATAGAAAATAAAAAAAAATAAACAAATATCACTTCTATTCAAATTATACAACATAATTACATTATTTTAAAAAATCAAATATTTATAACTAAAATCATCAATTAATAAGCATATTGAAATAAATATGTCATGTAATCACAAGTACCAATTAAAAAGTATATATATATTTTTTGTGATTTGTGGGAACAATTACAAAAAAACTAGAACAATTACAAAAAATAATTAATCCTAATTTTCACATGTAAAAGATGTAGAATAGTCAAATAGTATCCGATACAAAAATTTTTTGCTAATTTGATGAAATGTTATATATGATATCCTTTATATACATACACACACACATACATATATATATATATATATATATATAACTTTTATCTATATTTGTTGATATTTTAAATATCCATAAATAAGAAAATCCATGGTTGACAAAAAATTAAAACTCTATTAGAATATATAAAAATTCCTCATCTAAACATATACTTTCTATTTTTTTTTCTTTTTTCTTTTTTACCAAATTTTCAACACATGAAAATTAATTTATGTAGAAATTAATTAAATGGAAGACGTTAAAAGATTGAGTTGAAATTACTGGATTGTGTCTGTTTGATTTCCTCATAAAAATACTTAAAAGTATACAAATGGAGAATTAAAAGAATGTGTTTGGTAGAAAGAAAGACAACGATTGCATGGAATAAGGGAAAAAAAATGCATGAAAAGGAACATTAAAGACTTTAGAAAGATGGGGTTGCCGATCTTGGCTATATGAAATCCTTTGCTTGCCGATCTTAGCCTTGTTTTATTTAGAAGTTGATTGTTCGTTGAGACAGTATAATTTTTTTTAATTAGGATTTAAAAGATTATGACATATTTTTTAATTTATTTTTTAATATAAGTAGATAATCAAATGAGAATAGTCACTACAATAAGCAAATCCTACTAACTTCTCAAATGGGATAGAAAAGCTTGACCTTCTAACACGGCACAAACATTTTGCTCATTTTATTATTTTTCCCTCTTTTTCAAGATTTCACCATTTCTTCAAATATAATAATTGAACATCTTTTGAAGTAAATAATTTGTAAGTTAGGCGAGAAGACTTGATGACTTGAAATGTAATGGAAGACAGCTTTAAAGACGTTGAAAATTATTTTGGCTGATTTGAAAAAGCTAAGTCTCCAGTTCTACATGCCACAATAGTTCACTTTTAATCTCCCTCAACCACCACCGATCAAGTAAAGAAAAGTGAAAAGGCCATTTATATTTCTATAATTTTGATGAACAATGTCCTTTGTGCTATCATTTTTCGTGTTAAAGAATCAAGAAAAAATGAAATAGAGGTGCAAACGGCCTTAGAGCATTGCCACGTTGGGTGGGACAAAGAAAGGAGTCATCGAGTATTTTTTCGATTTAAATTTATTTATATAAAAATTAGAATCTTTATTCTATTAAATCATAAAAGAGTTTAAATAATTAAAAACTTACATAACCAATGATTTAAATGGATGGATTAAGGCAAGTCCTTCTTGGGTCAGGGATTGGTATTTAAAATTAGCAATTAAGTTCAGCTCAATCCAGTTTATCTATGAGCATCTCTAATCTTTTCATGTTAATTGTCAAAATTGACATTAATCAAAATTGGTTGATCTTTATAACCGCGAAATGCCCCAACAGAAACAACTGAATTGACAAGAGTGCAATGCCAGTAATTAAACTTGTTTTTTTGGGGGTAGATGGTAGAATTTGATGATATAAGTCATGAGTCAACCACAATCTTTCGAAGCTACAAGTTGTGAATAATACAGGAAAGTGTTGCCATTAAGTCATCCTCATATTAACGTGGCTACAATTATAGCGTATTGTTTGGGTTAGAAAATTGGTTTTCCATATGGCATGACAATGACAATGACAATTGACAACCGAACCAGAAGATTTTTTTTTTTCTGTTTCTAACTTTTAATTGGAAAGTGAGTAAATTATTTCTACAGTGCTAATGTTGTCTCTTTACTCCAGCTTTTCTGATTTGAAGGTATTTCTACACTAAACTCATGAACCTAAATGCTTAATTTTTTATTAAAAAAAGAAATTGAATGATTATTGAGTTTTAGTTCAGGGATTTTTTAATCTTTTTGTCGATATATTTTTTCTTATGTTACAAATAATTCTGAATCTCCAAATAAACCAAAAAAACAAAAAAAAGAAGGAAGATGGAGAGTTGTCAATCGAGTAATAATTAATATAGGAGAAAGTGATTTGTGTAGAATTCATATTTACATAGGCTATTATTATATGGAAATTGTCTTAATTGTGCTATTAAAGATAAATAAAGTTAGTTTTTAAATCATGGATAACATGATACAATTAATTATAAAAAGTGGCATAATGCGAATAAATTTTACTAACTTTATCATAAAAGTACTTTTTTTTTTAAATAGAAAAAAAGCTACATTTTGTTTGGCATTAAATGCCAATAAAAATAAATAAGAATTACAGTTTTTCCCCTTTGAATATTCTTTGCACTGCCAACTACCAAGTTATAAATTTTCTCGGTGGAATATTGAAGAATAAACATCAAAAAAATTTGCTCTCTTAATTTCCAATTCTACACTTCATTCATGGCAAACACTCGGTTTATTCTGCCTTTTATGGTGGTGATACTGTTGCCTTGTTTCATGGTTTCATTCTCTACAAAAAAAACAACCAATAATAGCACAGACCAGTTGGCTCTTCTTGCACTAAAAGCCAATGTCATTAGTGATCCTGAAAACCTCCTTACAACAAACTGGTCAACGGCTACCTCTGTTTGCAATTGGATTGGTGTCACTTGCGGTGCTCGGTACAAACGAGTTACGGCTCTGAATCTTTTTGGCATGAATCTCTCTGGTACCATACCACCACACCTGGGAAATCTGTCGTTCCTTACCATGCTCCATATTGAAAACAACAGTTTTCATGGCTTATTGCCCATGGAATTGGGTAATTTGCATCGGCTGAAATCTATAGACTTATCTAACAATAATTTCAACGGAGAAATTCCATCCTGGTTTGATTCCTTTGCTGAACTTCAAGTTCTGTCTTTAAATGGTAATAACTTTGTGGGAGTTATCCCATCTTGTTTGTGTTCTTTGTCAAAACTAGAGCTCTTGCGCTTGTCTCGCAACAATCTACAAGGACAGATTCCTGTGGCAATCGGAAATCTTTCAAACTTGAGATTGTTATCTTTAGATCACAATCAGCTTTCAGGCTCCATACCTTCTTCAGTCTTCAGCATATCTTTATTGGTAGAGATTAATCTCAACGACAACCAGCTAAGTGGTTCAATACCCTCCACCCATCTCGATATTTCTTCCTTGCAATATATTGATTTAACATTTAACAATCTCACTGGTCATATTCCACCAAATATGTTTAATTATCTACCTAAATTAAAAGGGCTTTATTTGAGTTGGAACCAACTTTCTGGTAGAATTCCAATGAGTTTATTCAAGTGCCAAGAGTTAGAAGGTTTATCCTTATCTATTAACAATTTGGAGGGGATCATATCTGGAGAAATCGAATATCTGACTATGCTTAAGAGGTTGGCTCTTGGATTCAACCATCTCAAAGGTAAAGGGAAACTAATTTTTAAGTTTATTTTATTTTATTTTATTTTTTTAAACAATAACAGTGTCACTTTTTTAATTCCTTTTTGCAATCACTTCTTAGTTGATGTATTTTATCCTTAATTTATGTATTTTATCCTTAGTTTAACTTTAATTTCTTTAATGGCCTTTTCTTCTTTTTTGATATAAATTATATGATTCGATGTTTGTCAAGACTGGTTTTTAACAACCAATTTTGATAGAATATCTATTAGGAAACCACATAAGTGAACCTCATACCTTATTTAATTTATAGCTAAATAAAAAGTAATGAAAATTTTATTGAATAGTTTATTTAATCAAAATTTTGCACTCAGCTCCTATATCTCCTTATGCTTCATATCCATCACTACAAGTAAATAATATTTGGGCTTTTGGATCGCTTTCTTTTCACTTGTTTTTTTTTTTTTTTAATACTGTCACACTTTTTTTTACTCATATTGTTTTTTTTTTAATTTAAATTCGATTCATTTTTTTGTTTTAGTTTTTATCATTTTATTCTCAATTTTTACTTTTATAACCAAGTAACTTTTACTAAGAAATCATTCACCAAAAAGTTCAGTTGTACTTTTCTTTTTTAAAAAATAGTTTAACGTATCTCAATCGATTATTACAACTTAGTATCTGCTATTAATACTATTTTATTCATTTTATTTTAACATCTTTTATTCATATTAAAAATAAAAAAGAATTTGGGCGGGCATTTTTTATTTGTATTACCTAAACATTGTTTAAATATTTTTCTGTACTTAACAAAGAAATAGGATTTATTCATGTACGAGAAAATGAAATTTGACCTTATTAATTTGTATGTAAAAACTTTTAACTCAAATAAAATTTCTTTATAAATGCAGGTAAAATTCCATCACAGATCGGTAATCTTCTGAGTTTGAAGGAAGTCACTATAGCAAATTGTCACTTAATAGGAACTATTCCTTCGATCATTGGCAACCTAACATTTTTGAAAATTGTGGACTTTTCGGAGAATAACTTGACATGTAATGCATCACATTGTTATTCTCATTTGTCAAATAGGAAAATTACTGTTCCTTTTCATTGTGGGACGGTATATTGGATTTCACAAAAGAACTAACAATACCAACGGAACTGCCCTTTGATTTTCTGGCAGGTCAAATACCGTTTCAGTTTGGTAACCTACCAAAATTGGAAGAATTGTATTTGGGATCTAACAATATCTTTGGAACCATCCCTCCTCGTATTTTCAATAGCTCAACTGTGAGAATCATTGTACTACAACTAAACCTACTCTCAGGCTATCTTCCATCAACCACAGGCATTTGGCTTCCGAAGCTTGAAATCCTTGATATTGGAGCAAATGAGTTAAGTGGATCGATACCTGCCTCGATTTCCAATGCCTCTCGGCTTAGGTTTCTTACCTTGGAATTCAACTCATTTTCTGGATATATTCCGAATGACCTCGGCAATTTAAGAGATCTACAAGTTCTCAACCTACAGCATAATAATTTAGCTAGCACACCATCGTCCTCAGAATTGAGCTTCCTATCGTCATTGGTAAATTCTAGAGACTTGAGATTCTTAGCGTTTGATAGAAATCCATTGATCAGTGGTAAACTTCAGACTTCTATAGGAAATCTCTCTGTTGAAAAATTTATAGCTTCTGGTTGCAACATTAAAGGTAGTATTCCAGGAGAAATTGGCAATGTAAGCAACTTGATTATGTTTCACCTAGATAACACTGAACTGTCTGGATGTATTCCCACCACAATAGGAAGATTAAGAAATTTGCAAAGTCTTTCTCTTCAAGGAAACAAATTAGAAGGATCCCTCCCAACTGAGTTATGCAATTTGAAGAGTTTGGGTTTTCTATATTTCACCGGTAACAAATTTGATGGACCAACACCGGAATGTTTAGGTGATCTTGTTTCTCTTAGATATCTATTTTTGGGCTTCAATAAGTTTGCCAACTCAATACCTTCAACCTTCGTAAGGTTCTTAGATATCTTGCAACTAAACTTGTCTTCCAATTGTCTACGTGGGGCACTCCCAATTGACCTTGGAAAATGGAAGGTTATCACTAGAATTGATTTTTCTAAAAATCAATTGTCAGGTGAAATCTCGAAAAGCATTGGTGATCTTAAAGACTTGACCTATCTCTCATTATCTGGTAACAGATTGCAAGGGTCTATACCAGAGTCATTGGGAGGCCTAATAGGATTACAAGTCTTGGATTTGTCAAGGAACAATTTCTCAGGAATCATTCCTAAGTCTTTAGAGAAACTCTTATATCTTGAACATTTTAATGTCTCTTTCAATAGACTAGAAGGAGAAATTCCTGACGAAGGAACCTTTGGAAACTACTCTATTCAATCTTTCATGGGAAATAAAGCACTATGTGCTGCACCTCGACTACGACTCCCACTCCCACCATGCAATGCAAATTCTTTTAGAAAGCATTCAAAGAAAGCTGTTCAGCTTGTAAAATTCATTTTATCTCCGATTGGCTTAGCAATAATACTGCTAGCTCTGATTCTATTTTTTTCACGAAGACAAAAAAGGAACAGAAATCTGTCAACTGATCAAGAAAATATGCAAGCATTAGCAGAATGGAAAAGAGTTACATACCGAGAGCTTCACCAGGCTACAGACGGATTTTCTGACAGCAAATTACTTGGTGTAGGGAGTTTTGGATCAGTATACCAAGGTACTCTTTCAGATGGGTTAAGCATTGCAGTAAAGATCTTCAATTTGGAGTTACAAGGAGCATTTAAGAGCTTTGACATTGAGTGTGAGGTCTTGCGCAACATTCGCCATCGAAATTTAGTCAAAATTATCAGTAGTTGTTCTAACATTGATTTTAAAGCCTTGGTTCTTGAGTTCATGCCTAATGGAAGCCTAGAGAAGTGGTTGTATTCACATAACTATTTTCTGGATATGATCCGTAGATTGAACATAATGATCGATGTGGCATCTGCAATAGAATATCTTCACCATGGTTATACAACACCTGTGATCCATTGTGATTTAAAACCCAGCAATATTCTTCTTGATGAAGATATGGTTGCACATTTAGGTGATTTTGGCATTGCAAAGCTGTTAGGTGAAGAAGATTCCACAATACAGACCTTGACAATAGCAACAATTGGGTATATGGCACCAGGTAATGACTAAATTTTAAATTCTTTTATCCTAATATAATGACTAATGTAACATTATTGTGAGCTTTGATGATGATTTTGACAATTTACATGTAGAATATGGATCAGAAGGAATTGTTTCAACAAAAGGAGATGTGTACAGCTTTGGGATTCTTTTAATGGAGACCTTCACAAGAAAGAAACCAACGGATGAAATTTTTACCGGAGAACTGAGCATGAAATATTGGGTAAAAGAGTTATTACCATCATCATTAATGGAGGTCGTAGACACCAATTTGTTAAATAGTGGGGAACGAGGATACTCAGCGACAAGGGATTGTGCCTTATCTATTTTCCAATTAGCATTGGAATGCTCAGAAGAAGTACCGGAGGAGAGAATTGACATGAAAGAAGTTGTTGCTAAGCTGAAGAAGATCAAAATCAAGCTTTTGTCTGAGTCGAATAGGTGGGCCTAATAAAGAGAACCTTCATATAGCTGGCGTTTCTGTTGGACTCCTTTAAGCTTATGGGTTTGTCTTTCTTGATTTCCTTTGAGCATTGAATATACGTAGTTTCAGTTCAATTCTTTCATATATGAGTGCTTGCCTAAATAAATTAACTGTAGTTGTGGGCTTTTGTTCTAATGTGTGTTCATGAACATTAAATGAATTGTTCAATTCCTATAAATTTCTGCGTCGTATTTCGTGTTATTTTGTTATGGTTGATTTAAAGTTTCTGTGAAATGTTTAAAAAACAATCTTTTTTCCCTTGTAGAAATTGGTTAGTATTGGAAATCATTGTTGTAGAAATGAGCATGAAATATTGGGCAAAAGAGTTATTGCCATCATCATTGATGGAAGTTATAGATACCAATTTATTAAATAATAGAGAAAAAAGATACTCAGCAATAAGGGATTGTGCCTTATCTATTTTTCCATTAGCATTGGAATGTTCGGAAGAAGTTTAAAAAAAAAAGGGATTGATATGAAAAAAGTTGATGCTACGATGAGGAAGATCAAAATCAAGTTGATGCTAGCATTGGAATGTTCAAAATCAAAACCATGAGGAGAACCTCCACGTAGCAGGCATTTATATTTGGCTCCTTTGAGCTTTTGTACTTGTCTTGTTTTTATTTCCTTTGAGCATATGGGTTGAATATCCACAATTTCAGCTCAATTCATTCGTATATGAGTGCTTACCTTTGTAAATTAACTGCATTTGTGGGCTTTCGTTCTAATGTTTGTTCATGAACATTAAATAAATTGCTCAATTCTTACAGTTCTCTCTCTCTCTCTCTCTCTCTCTCTCTCTCTCTCTCTCTCTCTCTCTCATTTTTGGCAGTTCTTTGTTTGCTTGAATTAATGTTTTTGCTAAATGTTTTCCAGAAAAATGTTTCTGTAATGCTTATCTGAATGTATAAGAAAAATTATAACATTCATGTAACGTTCATCCAAAAAATGGTATCAATTGATTTCATGTTATCTAAAATCTTTAAAAATCTTACCAAATAATTTGATATTGAAAATTACTATTAAATTACTTTAATATGTTAGTAATAATTTAAGAATATTTTCTAACTTTAAAAGTATTTAAAGAGATTATTTGTTATGCTTTGAAGAAGTTTTATTGTGGGATTTATTTAACTTAAAAAAACAAAACTCTTATTCATTTAATTTTTTTAATTAAAATAAAATCTTAATAATAATTTAATTATCAAAACTATCATTAGAAACTTATATATCATATTATCTTTTCTATTTCGATGAAGAGAATGGCATATAGAAATACAGTAAATTTCTTTGAGGAGAGAGATCGAGAAAATAGTGGAATGACGTTTAATTTTCTACATTTTGAAATTGGAAAATGGGAATCCCATACTAGAAAAGAAAGATAATAGAGAGTTCACAATGGAGAGTAATAATGACTAGATTGGAATTGGAAAGCACGTTTTAAATCATATTATTCTTAAAGTAATATAAATTACATAAAAATATCCAAATGAGTATGACCGTGTTTTTTAGCCAAACGGAAGTTTTTCTCTGCGATTAATTGCATCTCCAACTATAGATTGGAACATGAACCTAAAAAATCCCAGTTACATCTTAAAACTCCTGATTTATTTGGATAAATTTGAAGATAAACAAAATCACACCAACCAAAAGCAAATCTATGAAAAAAAGCTATTTTGATAAGTTTTCCCTCGCCATCCTCTTAGCTTTACATATTTGTATACATCTAAGCAAAGCGGTTTACTCTATTAATTGTCAAGGTCGCATAATCAGTTTCCAAAAGACAGCAGCACGGCTTTTTCAAGTTAGCAGGAGGCACTAAAATATATAAACAGGCAAAGAAATTTTCAGACGAATGAAGTTAAATGTATAACGTGTAATTGAAGTACAACAAAGACTTTCTTTTTTTTTTTTTTTTGGATGAAGCGGTTGACGAGGACTATCTTAATTCCAAATTAAGTCTATATTGAGCAAACACTTTTTTTTTTTGGTTTGGGACCCTCCGATGTCCAGTAATTATTTTTGGGGTCCAACTAATCTAGAGTCGAGCCAAGTCAGACTCCATAAGGGGGCAAGCTCTCCTAGCATCTGTCTTCTTCATTTACAAGACTTAAAATCAAGACTTTACTTGAGGGAAACTGAGCTCTTTAACCACTCAGACCAACAGGCATTGGTTATTGCTCAAACACTTTGTTATCTCTTTATTAGTGACTAGTTTTCTTTTAGGAGCTATGCACATAATTGTTAACCAAATTATAATTCTAATATAATAAAATAATTTTAATACTTTTATAGTAATAAAATTGAAATAACTATCATCATACTAAATTAAATTAAAAATATAAATTTAAGTTTTAAAAAAATAAATATAACAAAAATTTTAAATTAAAATTTGAATAAAGAATAAATATTTAATCTTTCTTTATTTTGACTTTTTTTAGAAGTTTCTTTTAAGTCTTTGGGTTTTAGATCATCATCTTCATTCATTATATATATATATATATATATATTAAATTTTTTCAGAGGATTATCTTCAATCACAATCAAATCGGATTTTGTACTTTCTTTTCTTCTCTATTTTACACTTTTTCTCAAGCTTTTTCTTTTAACCTTTTTAGTAGTAGATTTTTATTTTCAATTTTATAAATTTTTGAGGCAATCAATCACTATTGAACTCATTTAAACTCTTGCTTTCATCTATTTACTATTGAAATTTTAAATTCTTTATTTTGACTTGAAACCATATTGTTATAAAGTTTTTGTTGCTTGAAATAAAGTAAATATATAATGTTTTCTTTTTCATGATCACTTACTTCTGTTTTTGATATGTACTTATTTATGTCATATAAATCAATTTGTAGTTTAATTTTATAGTGAAAAAATGCATACTTATATGAATTTTACTAATCGTTGTATCCATTTTGTCTGAAATATTATTATTATTATTATTATTATTATTATTATTATTATTATTATAGTTTTCTATTATTTTTTATTTTTTTCTTTTATTATTTTTTTCTCTTCTTCTTTTTTGTTATGATCGATTTGACAAAAATATGAATGCATTAAATGCACCTTCCCCAAAGTCCAAAATTTCAGCCACTGCTAGCTGCCAACAGTAGTTTGACATATCGCCTAACTTGGCAGCATGAATTTCGGCCACCAAAAGTCTATCACGCCGATTAAAAATCTGGGATTTGAATCCTAAAAAGCTCTATAAATAGAGCCTGTTCTCTACAAGAAAAGAAAAAGACAGGGGGATCGAAAAAAAGTTTTGCTACAAAAAAAGATTCAAAAAAAGGGGGTTCTACCAGATTCAAAAAAAAATAATCTAAAACTCGACATAAAAAAACCAAGCAAACAAAAAAAAAACCACAGTCCCCAAGGTAGGGGAACCCAATGCCGACATATAAAAAAAACATAAAAAAAATTTTAGCCGAATCTTCCAAGCTAGATCTATGCCATTTGGAGCCTTTTTTTTTTTTTTTTGCAAAACCAAGCTCAGATCTGGACTTTGGAGGCTATGAGGAGTATTGGGTGAATTTTGAAAGTTTTTCGATCATCGACAATGGAGGCCGGTGACCAGTGGTGACGACCACCGATCGACCCCCTTAGGCTTTTTCTAAAAAATGAGAGGGAAGAGTGTTTTTTTTTTCTAAGAAGAGAGGGAAAATGAGCTAAAAAAATTGACTTTTATATAGAAGACAAACCTCAAAATGGTGCCGTTTCAGTAAGTATCAAAATGATGTCGTTTTGAACTACAAAAAATTTGCGTGTCAGCCTAATATCCAACCCAGGGTCTGCGCACTCGACCCGATCACTCACCTCAGCGTCCTATCCCATACTAGTCTAGACAAACTATCAATGAACCGGTTCAAGCTGACCAGAATCTCGTGAGCCACCCCAAACCGCTATAAACTTGCTTGAATCGGTTCAAATCAACCGAACCCTATTTACTGGACTGTTGATCGATCCGATTCATTTTTTTATTTTTTGAATTATTTTTTAATATTATTTTTATTATTTTAAATTTTTATTATTAGTATTTATGTATGTAAAAATGTTTAAATTTGTTAAAATAAATTTTGTTGTTGTTGTTTTTTTTAATAATAATGCATAAATATAAAAAATTAAATAATGAAATATATTAAAGAATAATGATAAAAAATTAAAAAAATAGTAATAATAATACAAAAATCATAAAAAATATAAGAAAAGGAAATTTTTATCCAATGATGAGATTCAAAGGTACTCTGAGTAGTGATATTTACGAAATCTCTAGGTAAGAAGATTTTTTTTTAAAGACTACCAGTATATTGGAGTATTTATATAACAATTTTTAGTACCATAAAAATTTTCCTTTTTACTAATAAATTAAAAATAATAATAATGTAAATGTAGAAAAAGGAAATTTTATCCAATGATGGAATTCTAAAAGTATTCCTAGTAGTGATGCTTTATGAAATCCCTAGATGAGAAAATTTTTTTAAAAATTTTATCAGTGTATTGAAATATTTATAGAAAAACTTCAACATAATAAAAATTCCTTTTTTCTTTAAAAATTTAAATTAAAAAAAGAAATCAAATAAAACAATCAATAAAATTTCTAAAAAAGAGAATAAAATACACGCATCAACATATCAACATTTTGCATTGCATGCTTAATAAAGTTTTTACAAAAAGTAAATTCAAGCCATTGGGGATGAGATTCTAAGGTATTTTGAGAAGCGATGCCTAAGAAATCTCTAGGTGAGAATAAGTTCTTCTAATGTTACCAAAGTACTAAAATATTTTAAGAATTATTTCAATAAAAAGTTTCTAATTTATTTTTCTTAAATAAAATTTGAACAATAAATATGGAACAATAATAAAAGAAAAAATCAAAATTTCAATAAACAAAAGGAAATCAATTAAATTATTTTTTGAACACCGAAAATAAAACTGTTTTTATCAAAATCAATGGATAACACATAATTAATTGGTACTATTTTAAACGGGTGCTGTGAGGGTGTTAATCCTTCCCCACATGTAACCGACTTTCAGACTCAGACTATTTTGTAAACCCTAAAAATATCTTTTTAATAGATTTTAATTAATTTTAAGATTTTTATTAAAAGGATATATTTTAATAGGTGGCCAATCGCACCTAGCCAAAAAAGATTAGTGCCAACTCCGTTATTTTTATTTTATTTCTAAGTTAGTTGGACAAACATAAAACCATTACGACAGCTTGGCTACTCCATTAGGGACACCATTTGTTTTTTAGAGTCAGGCCAAAATTAACTACATGTTATCCTTAAATTTTGATTTAAATAGTCCTAATTGGTTCCTTAGATTTTTATTTTTCACTTTCATTAAGAAAAAAGCAAAAAAAAAAGAAAACAAAAAGAAAAATTTCACACACGTTTCTTTTAGTATGCCTCCTATGCTTTATTTTTCTGCATATATATTACTCTTGATAAATTAGAAAACATATACACACACAATGACACGATGCATCTCATGCTTGAGCTTTATACACTAGCTTTGTCTTTTATAAGAAGAAGT